AGAAAGAAAGAAAGAAAGAAAGAAAGAAAGAAAGAAAGAAAGAAAGAAAGAAAGAAAGAAAGAAAGAAAGAAAAGAAAGAAGCAGGCAGAAATATGATGCTTCGCTTAAGCACATCAGCACACTGACATAAAGTGAGGAGGTCCAATTCTAAGCGTTATGTATGTGTACCACCATGAACACAAAACACAGTGATGGTGCTCTTCATATAGAAAAGGCTTATACATGGCTATATCCCTAATGTTTTCCACATCATTTTGTCACCATGTGTGGTATAATATATGGCAACTTGAAAAATAGCATCAATGGAGCGCAATTCATGAAACTATAAGAAAATAAACCATTGAAAGAAGAGCCTCTGAAATAAAATGCATTAACCAGTGTTACTCTTCTACTGCCATGTTCTGGAATTTTGTTGTGTATTCTCTTTAAAATGAAATTTAAATAAAAGCAATGTTAAGAAGGATTTTTTTTTGGCTGCCTCTGGGTGCCTTAAGGGCAGGTCAGGAAAGCATGAGAGTCTGGGAAGTGAATCACAATATTCTAAGCCTGACTGCCTTTGCTTAGACAGGTGAAAGTTTGTATAATATAAATAAAATTTTCATTACCTTTCATAAAATTATACATCTAAGAAGAAAATACTGATTATAGTAGATAATTAATTGCAAGCCATCATTGATCTTAATAGATATACAAGAAAATATCTGATGTGGTACTATACAGCATAGTAACAATATTCAGAAAATATTATAAAGTAAATTTAAATTAAGAGGTAAGATTTCTCATTATTAATATTAATAAATAAAACTTACACTTTACTAACGCAACACTGTTCTCATAGTTTGTGCATATGAGTACAAATAGTGTATTTGCTCCTGAGTTTTCACAGTTTTGGCATGGCGTGTCTGGATTTATGAGTGTTGCATAGAAAAATCTGTAAGGGTCAGAGTTGTACCACAACAAAGATCAAATATCAAATGTTAAATTTGGATTGCATCATAGATTTTGGTTATATGACAGTGCTTTGTTTTTTTCTAATAAAAATGCAGTTTCTCTGTGTGTGTGAAATCTGGGCAAATAAAAGAATGTTGTATTGCATATGTAGGTGAACCAAGTCCTCCATCCATACATGGACAGCCAAGCAGTGGAAAGAGTTTTAAACTCAGCATCACCAAACAAGATGATGGAGGAGCCCCAATTTTGGAATACATCGTGAAATACAGGAGTGTACGTATCTTGTTTATTTTGATTTTGTATCAATTTTTCAAATAGCATTGTGAGTTGCACTGAGTTCATATAGAGGCCAGGAATGAATGTAGATTCAGTAACAACAAATCAATTTTCTATTCATCAATTTCAATTGCGACTATTTTCCTTTGCTAATGTAAACATATGACATTAATATGTCTCAGATTTCATCTTGTAATTTCTTGCTGAGAAATACAACTGATCAACATTTCAGAAAAGACATACGACTTTCCCTCATTTTCACACAAATTTTGTAAGATTATTCTACTTTTCAGTTCTGCTTGATTTCTGTAATATCAAGCTAAGCCCTCTTGACCTTTGTACTTGTTTGGGTAGAATTATTAGTAAATCACACTTTAGAAGAGGTTAGTGTAAGCAAGTACTAAGACTCTTTTTCTTAATATTTAACAAGGAATATCCATAGTGAACTTTAGGAACAAGGAACTGTTTTCTTCAACTTTAATACCGCTCTCTATGAAGAGAGTTCAGACAGTTAGTGGCCACATATCCGGATAGGTGAGGGGAAGAGAGATGACCACCAGTTGTATGACAATGAAGAAAGTTCCACATGGACTTTTCTTCCTCAAGCTAAAAATATCTTAAAGACCACTGAGAGTCATTTCTCCTAAAAGTGTTTCATAAGTAACATTCACTAGTTGCATATGGTATAAAATATATTAAAAATAGAGCTTCTTAATCATAGGTGGATAAATTTTCAATATTTTCATACAATCCATGCTTTTTAAAATTCCAACATTACTACTTCTAAATTCAAACTTCTGGGTTTTGAGGAATAATGAAAAGGAAATTTGATTTTGAGTTGCATGCTTCAATAATTAATTTTAGATATAATTTGAATCTTCTCGATTTAATATTAATGTTCTTTTCAAAGATAACTCTTCCTCCAGGTTTTGTGCTCTGGCGAGCAGCTCTGTGTCTCTGTGTGGCTTGCTGCCTGGCTTCATGCTGCTATCCCAAGAGAGCCCTGAAGGGCTCCATGCGCTCTTTGGAGCTGAGACTGTCCTGTAACTTGGTCAGGTCTCTCGGCCATTGTCATTTGCTCCTCTGCGGCTCTAAGGAAGGCAGAGAAGCAATTCCATAGAATTGCTTCCATTCTGCATAGAATTCATGGCAAAATACCTTGGTTTTCATTAACTGTCAGTAAGGATCTTCATTAAATTCCCATAAAGCAGATGTCATGACTAGTTGTGACGCTGTCTCAGATTTTATGTGTATGTTTTTTACTTAAAATTAAAAACACTATAGGATAAAAAAAAATGACGACATACTTAAATTTTTCTAATGAGCTGATACTAGAAATAAGAAAACTATACGCTGTGCAACCAAATGTACAACCATATTTATTATTCTATGTTACAGCTGCTTTTCATCTTTTTTATTAGTGAAATTGATTAACAAATCATGAATAATTTGGGAGTATTGTCATTCTCTTATCTTCTTGCATTTCCAGTTTTTCAAAAAGATAGTAGAGAAACTGCACATAGAATGCTTTACTCAAACCATTTAATACAAGTTAATGTTACACATGTGCTTAAAATTCTTATTTCTGAAAAATGGTCAGTGTTATTTTATATAAATTTTGATCGTAAAGTTGATATTGGCTGTTTATTTGTTAAAGTGTACATTTGGATTCCAGGAAACAAGGTCAAATTGTATTAAAAGAACATATAGTTCTGGAACTCAGTAAGTTTATTTGTGAAATATTCTTATTTAAGGACAAATCCCAGAAATGGAATAAAACTTGTTTTTCTTTATATTCTTTTATTCTTAGTACATTGGCTTTATTCTGATAAAGATTATCTTGGTTCCTATGTGACTTTATAGTCACATTCAGGAAGAGAAGATATTTGAAAAAACTAAAAGAATAGTGAGCTATTCGACTGAATCTTTTCTCAACATAGGAAAACAATGTATGACATCTTACCAACAACATTAAAGTTATTTCTTTTCAGAAATCAATGGACTTCCTCAAGTAAAGGAGGTTAATGAGACAATTAGCTAATAATTACTTGCCTTGGATTGTTGTTGAAATTATTTTATCATTTTAATGAGTGTAGGCACTTTTGAAAAGCACACTGTTGGAATCACGGGAGCGCCAATAGTAAGGAGTATAGTTCTACTACTCAAAGCAGAATATCGCCATCGCTCCTTCTCACTCAGGACACGGCTAGGACAGTAGACCCAGCTAATGTTGAAAACAAAAACGTTCCCTGTGTAACCCAGTACCAGTTTAGATTCATTGCATTCACAAAGTAATGTCATTTGAGTCATTCATGGATATATACATGTATTCACATATACATTCATATTCATATGTATTTATAATTAACCTATAGTTCAGCTTTAAAAATAAACTTTTTAGCCATTGATTTCATATTTTCATTCCTTTGAATGTGGAAAATATGACTTAAAATTGAAAAATGATGTGTGAATTTAATATGGAAACAAATAATGAAGTAGTTAATAGTTATGAAATTAGTAAGCATAGGGAGTCAATTCTTTATAATGGTTCAATAACTTTTACCTTTTAACATAACTTACATGGCTCCATTTTAGGTTAAAATTTGAACAAAAATGAATTTTATCTCTAGTATACTTATTTACTGTGTGTGTGTGCTTGCGCGCGCTCGCACGCGCGTGTGTGTGTGTGTGTGTGTGTGTGTGTCGAGGTCTCACTCTACTTCAGGCTGGTCTTAAACTCACTGGGTAGTCCAGGATGGACTTGAATGCCTGCTGATCCTCCTGTCTCAGCCTCCCAAGTGCTGGGATCACCATGACTTGCTACTACATTTCTGTCTTTTGTTATCCTTCTTTATTCCTCCCAATGTGAAGCTTACAGTCTTTGCCATTTTTTACAATTTAAGCAAGAGTTACTTTTCCCCTTGCAATAAAAGTATGTGTTTTTCCCTCCCCAGTTATGCTTCATGTCTGTCTCTGTATTCAGCAGCAATTCCCAGGCATTTCTAGCTCCGTGAGTACCAGATGACTTGCTGGAGTCACTTGCTGCAACCGTACCTATACCTGGCTGCTATTCAATCTCCCTGTTACTTGTCTCAGCAGCACAAATAGCATTTTAACAATGAGCACTTCTTTAATAATACGAGTTTGGATATCTCCAACAATTTGGGGGGGGGGGAATACACCTTTTCATGTCACAAGAAAGATACTTTTCACTGTTAAGGAAACACCTTTATTTTATAAAATATAATGTAAAACAGCTTTTCTTACATTTTCCAAGAGTAAACTGAAGCAGTAAATTTTGATGAATTTGTGGTGACATAAAGCACATAACAGGAGTAGGACTTTATAATTTAAACACACCTTGTAGCAAAATTTGCTGTTGGAGATTATACCACGTGACCTCTGGAATATAATCCTGACTTTCCTGAGATGCTCGGGTTCTGTGAGTCCAGTTACCTCTCCTGCCAGTCTTTCTGCTTGCCGTATCACGTCAGAGTCTGGAACTCTTCACTGCAGTATTCCTTTGTTCCTATTTTCCCCTTCCTCTGCCACCTGTTTCATCCATCCAGATCCACGCTCTGAAGGTGCAATTGGAAATACTGCAGTTAAATACATAGTTACATTTATGTCAACCAAAATAGACTGGCAGGGAATAATTTCACTCGTGTTTTACTTTGGCATGTTTAAACACATGCTTTCTCAAGGGCATTTGTCACTAAGAGGTTTTAGGGTCCTTTACTTTGACAGTCTGCGTGTGCTTTCAGGTGGTAACATTCTCGGGAGGGTTCTTTATCTTCAGTACTCTGTATAATTCCAACCCCTTTATTCACTTTTAAAAGTGCATAAATTCTACAGTGGAGTGAAGTGTAATTAAATAATTTGAAAAATGACTTAGGAATTCATGATGCTTATTTATTCCTTTATTTATTTAGATATTTTTCAGTCCCAGATATCAAACTTGGCACCTTGTGCTTGCCAAGCAGGTGCTGGTGCAACTGAGTTATCTCCCCAGCCCCTACGAGGAATTTTTAAACAGATAACCTCTATGAAAAAAAGTGATAAAAGTGTGGAAAATAAGTAATACCTCAATCCTAATATCTTCACTAGATTTCTTCTCTTAGCCAACTGTTCAGCTCTACTACACATACAGGCATGTGTTTTATTCTGAGAATAATATCAACTAAGGCATTATATTCTATATGTGCTGTGATTTCTAGTTGATAATGAACCAAAACATTTCATTTTAAGATCACAAGGAAAAGAGAAGACAGAAATAGCACATAACTTCCTGAAGCCAGGAAGCACATTATCTTACGCTACCTGTAATGATAAACATGCTTTCGTTCAGTCATCTATGAAGAAGACAGAATTTGTTAGATCAGAACTGGAGTAATAAAAAGCAAGCCACCAGCAGACGAAAGTGCCTGTTTAGGCAAGCACAGGGTCTGGGGTTTGATCCCTGGTACCACATGATGTGCAAGTCCCGTCCCAGAGCCGGCTGAGCCAGCCACAGAGTCTGGGTATAATCTCAATGCTGGACAGGCTGAAAAACAGGAGGATCACTACAAATACCAACAGTGTAGTGAGAGCCTGCAACAACCAAACACATTAAATAAATAAATAAATAAATAAATAACACAAATAAAAATGAGTAAGTTGTCTATGGATCATTCTTGAGAATTAACTTCTCCAGAAATAGAACTATAAGTTTAAATTATTTGTCTGTGAATTATGAAAAATGATGAGTGTATCAATCTAATAGAGTGAAGAAACAAAAATTAATTTCAAGAATTGAACATTTTACTATTTCTACTTAGTAATGTAATGTCAACAAAACTCTTTATAATGTAATAAATATCATTTGCATGTTTTGTTGTCCTTTGCACAATCTTTAATCTAATTGGAGGTTGCTGTGGGATCATAAATATCACTTTGCACTGGATTGCTACTGAATTTTTGGAACTGAGAAAGGCTGACCAAAATTGACAGCTTAAACTCAATTGTGAGAAAGATTCTTTACACAGTAACAGTAATAATTATAGAATATGTTTTAAAATCTTAGTAGTACTTCTGCAGTCAAATGGAGATGAGAAATTTGCATAATTTCTGAACGGGAATAGAAAAAACAAAACAGCATTGAAAACATTACTAAGATTATAAATTAATACAAATGAACTTTGGTGGTTGAGAGAATTTATTTTATAGTCAGAAGATTTTGGTGTGCACATTAAAATATATGTAGAATCATTTTTTTATTTCGAAATACTTGTGGAAGGTAGATAGCGTTAGGTATTAACTACTATGAAATAGTTTAGTGATGTTTTCGTGTGAAAAAAAGATTGAGTTTTATTCATCTTTATTCTGACAGTATAAAGTAGACTACTGGTTGTCTAAATGAACAAAAGCAGCAATGAGCTACTTAATCAATTTTATTTAATTATGAAGAACCTTTAATTATTAAATTTGAGATATAAAGAACACAAGAAAGGAAAAAGTGGATTAAAATTAAGTGTGAAGGGGCTTGAGAGATGACTCAGTGGAGTAAGTGCTTCCCTGGCAAGTGCAATTGCCTGAGTTCAATCCCCCGGTTCCGCAAAATAAATAAATAAATAAATAAATAAATAATAATAACAATAATACAAAATAAAATACAATTAAGTGTGAAGATTATGGTTTGTACTCTGCCAGTGTTTATGGATATGTCAGAGGTGATGACAAAGAAAAATTAGAGCTACTTTCTCTCAGTAAAATGTGAGTGGAGAGGCTCCACAAATATTATTTAAAGTTCATCTTAGGAAATTTGTCTCAGCATCAGAACATGGGACAAAGGCAATTTGAGTCAGTTCTGATAATGAAAGCAGAGATTGTAATTTAGAAATTTTCTGCTAAACCTTAGATGTTTCCTAATCTCAGGGGAATATATTTTATTTTGTATTCAAAGACAAAAACACATGAGTATGCATACATAGGACATAAATTATCCAGTTTGCTAAATTCTCTTTTTTGTATTCGGAGTAGTAAAGAGACATCTGGAGCTTTCTGGACCCTTCCATAAGATCATGAGGTGGGTTTGTTTTTTTAAGGGTACTGAGAATCAAACTCAGGACCTTGCACTTGCCTTGCAATTGCTGTGCTGCCGAGATAGGTCCATGGTCATATGAGATCATGCAAATAGTGGTTGTTTGACTCCTGATATAAGGAAATATAGAAACCTCCAAATTGTTGCATAGTCACACAAAATATGAAAGCAGGTTACACAAGAATCACAACCTAAACCACTTCTTGAGTAAGAACTTACTATTTATATTGTCCTTTAATTTTGCAACTATTTGGGTTTTATTTAACATTTTGATTCCATGAAACCTTGGAAGGGGAGTTAATAGACTATTACTTGTTATGGATAAAACATCAGATAGGCCACCAAAAATGAAAAATATGAATATTTCCTCCTTGGTTGTGATACACCCTTGTCTAGAGGATAGGAAATACTTGATAATGTGTAGATATCATGACTTTAGAATCACCATTAGGAATTGTCTTTAAAATTGTTTCATAGTCCTGATATTTTGTGACAAAAGTATTGTTTAATAGAAATTAAGGCATGTGAAAATGCCCACAATTTCAGTAGCTGTCCTTCAACATTTAATTGGCTTATTACTAATAGTCCTATTCAGCAAATCATCTCATTAAGTTACCTAGGGGAACATTTTGCAAGCAGTTATCTTAAATCGGTCCCTAGGCATTTAAATTCTGTAAATTAGACACTCTGCAGATGCATAATTGAGATTCCCATGCCTAGGGGAGTTTTTGGTAACACCCACTTTAATTTTTTCTATTCTCTAGATATAGTAATTAGGGTATTAAAATACCTTCTTATCTAATGTTGAATGGAAGATGAAATTGATTTATATTGGGAAAATATTAGAACTCCCTTTGGTTTCTTGCAACATTAGTCTAAATTTGCATGTTAAGAGCTTCAACAGTTAAGAGTTAAATGATTGTTAATTCAGAAAAGAATACCCATATGAATTGTGTTTGTCAAGTTTTCCTTCAAATGCTTCATGCTCAGAATTGGTATTCTGGAAGACTACAATTTTCACATATAATGTGAAGTTCCCTGAAATGAAATTTTTTAGAGGTTTACTTGAAGGACTTGAATTTTATTCATTTTCTAAGAATGCGTTTTATTCAGAGGTATTTTATATTTCAGTTACTGGCTTATTTTTGGCTTGAAATCAGTATCTCCACTCAGATCCAAAGCTAAATCCAACCACTTGAATATCCAAAAATTAATCATAGCAAACACTTCATAGTCACCCAGAATGTATGAATTAGTGGAGTAATGCCAGGACCAAAGACAGATGCATGTTTTTATCACCTTGCATGGCACTTGCTTTTAATACAACTATAGACAACTTTGAACTGGTTTGAAATAATTCTCATACAGCATAATTTTTAAGTCTTTTAATGGTTAAGCATTTCTTGGGTTTTTAAATTGTTGTGTGCTTAAGTTTGTATATACAGCTCTGTGAAAGTTCTGCATTGTTATATATGTAATATGTATCACCTATGTTAGGTAAAATGAGTGGCGCTAAAGTGTGTTATATCTAGTAAGAGCAATATTATTTCCCTGGGAGAGCTGCCCATTTCTCCTCTAATTCTCTTGGTATTGGAAGAACTCATCCCCTTCTGTGTTGGTTTATAAAAGCAAATTGAGGGTACTGCATGTGTCTCGTAAACGGTTGTTTTCATAGTTTCTAGAAAAATCTCATCACTCAATAAAGATGAAAAATATGAATAGATGGAGAAAGAGGGTATTGGGAAGTTGTGTCTCTAATTCAGCCATCCTAAGCATTATCCAAGCATGTCTTACTTTGATTCTTAACTTTATTATTCATTTAGACCCTTAGACTAGTAATAGCTTCTCTTGGCAGGTTTCCCATACTCATTCCAATATGCCACTTATGATTTGAAATCCAAGTGAGAAATAGGCCATTTTGAAAAATGCTTCTACATCTAAGTTTCAATATAAATTAATAAATATAAAAATTGTAAAAATATAAGACAATTTATATGACAAGTTAGATGTCCATTTAGAGCCCTAATCTCATCAGAGGTGTTTCTATCTTAAATTTTATAAGAAATAGACCATTTTATTCATATGAAAGATCTATATTATCAAAAAAGACAATTAAAAATACCATATTATCAGAGTCATATATTCTTTTTCTTCAGATGGATTGCATATTTACAGTATACCAGTTTAATACAATTTGCAGAAGAGGATAAATTCTTAGCTATTTAGTATATGTTCAGCAAACAGGTCACCCTCCATATTTGAGGAAATATTGTAAAAATGTGGCTGAACATAAGATAATATTAAACAAATCTTTCTATCTTTTCCTATAACCACAGTCAACTGATTTATTTCTACTTCCTGGGAAGTAAGATTTGAAATTGCAGTTACAGATTATTAGACATAAGACTTTTGGGAAAAAATGCTTGCTTTCCATATGGTTATTATGGAAATATTTTTTCTTAGTCATGGATATTGTTTTGATTTTGATTCCTAAGGCCCCAGGAAACATGATTTACTCGTTACCTTATAGTGTAATCAGACAGTCTAACAGAAGAAGCTGTTGCTGTTATTTCTATAATAGACAAGAAGGGAACAAGAAGGATAAGAATTCCATTTTAATGCAGTTAACATATGGTATACTCTATTGTTCCCATGTTTATTGATATTTTCATTCATAAAATTATACTAATTTATTTTTCTGTCCTAATGTGGCAATAATGCCATTTTTTTCAAATAGCAATACTAGCATTTCATGGTTCAAACTAATCCAATAGCATTTAAATTACAATGCTTAGGGGTTGGATTACACTTAAATTTTCCCATGGCATTTTTCCTTATATGGTATTTCATTATTATTATTATTATTATTATTATTATTATTATTGTGTGTGTGTGTGTTGTTTTGCTTTATCTATTTTAGGGAAGGGCCTACAAAGAGTGTTAAGGGTCTTACTACTAGATCTGACTCTTAGTGATCAGTCTGCTTACAACCTCCCAAGAGCTGGGATTACAGGCACATGCCACCACGCCCAGTCTCAGTCACCCTGTCAGCACACTCCTGGGGTGGGGCCCGCACAACAGGCCTGAGGATCTAACCCCCAACTCTTACGCCTGCTTGCAGGTGCTTTAATCTGCTGAGCTATTTGGCTGGCCCTTAGTATTTCATTATGAATCAAAATATTGTAGTAAAGGGTGGGGGCCAGGGAGATAACTCATGGGAATAAGCAGTTGCCTGGCAAGTGCAAGGTCCTGGGTTCAATTCTTGGTTCCACAAAAAAAAATTAAAAAATATGTATATATAGTAGTAAATAGTATAAGTGATAACAAAAGTGTACATTAACAGTCCTATTTCAATTTCCATACAGGTTTTCTCCTTCAACAAACTTTAGTATGTCTCAGGCAATTATTTTAATGGATATATTAACCTTATTTAATGCATTATATTTCATTTTTCTGCTAATATTCTTAGTAATAATAAACAGTGTGAGCAAATCCAAGACTGTGATCGATATAACAAAAAAATACAGTAATGAAAACAGCCAATAAACTAGTGAAAGATGAAAGGGTGTGGAAACATTGCTCTGGATAATTCATGTAGACATTTCATCTTATAGTCAAATGTTAAGAATAAAACCAACTTCGTTGATGCTACTAACTTATTTAACCATGTGAATATGAGAAGTGATATTAATGAAGCTATTTGTTTCACTCCCAAATAAATTATATTTTTAAAAATTACAAATATAATGTATTAACGTTTACAATATATGTTTGTATCAATTCTACAGAAAGATAAAGAAGATCAGTGGCTGGAGAAAAAAGTGCAGGGAAATAAAGACCACATTATCTTGGAGCATCTGCAGTGGACAATGGGATACGAAGTCCAGATCACAGCTGCCAACCGATTAGGGTATTCTGAACCAACAGTTTATGAATTCAGCATGCCACCAAAGCCCAACATTATTAAAGGTAAGCAAAGATCAAAGTTACATGCTTCCCGGACATAAGTATTGTGTAATCTTCTTGTAATGGCTTTGGCTTTTCTGTTATAAATGAAAATATAAGTTTTTAAACTAAGTGTAAACTCTAGATTTCAATTATGAATATTATGGCATATCATACTCAAGTGCTCCTAATGGTTCTTGACACGGGATGTTTTGTGATACTGCTTTCATAGTTTTAGCCACAGAAGTGATAAAAGAAGGATTAGCAGAGAGACTGAATGGAAGGTGAGAATGAATGCTAATATTCAGGATGAAACCTTCTGTTGAGACCAGAGGAAATCTTTGCAAATAAAATAACTTCCCCATCAAGAACAAGCAGGTTGATGTGTGACTCTGATTAGATCTTGTCAGAGATGATGGGGACCGAACAATGGGATTGATTTCAGAAATATAAAATCAGACAGAGAGTGAAGTGGCATAAGACCCTGTCTGGCAAGTGTAAGGTCCTGAGTTCAATCCTTGGTACTGAAAAAAAAAAAAAAAAAGATACATAGCTGTAATTTTAAGTAGATGTATATCCTAGAAGAAAATTCTAAATCTATTTAAACAACAAACTAGCAGTTTGTTCTTTTGGTAGGTAAATAGTACTTACATGGCCTATTACTGATATTTTAGGGATAATATCAACATGAATGCTCTCTTAAAATATTTTTGGATAGTACATAGTATAGATACAGAGGTAAAGAAGAGAAAGCATGTGTATACTGATACAAAATAATATTTAATATTGTTAATTTTGATGTCAGTTACATACTAATGTTAGCTTCTACTAAATGTGTCCCTTAAGTATTACCTTCAGTACTTAAATTTTATAGGCATGTGTCCTTTACATAAACATGAAAGAAGTGAGAATACCCAATTAATTCATAAAGCCAATGTTTGTTTATTATAATAGACTATCACTATCATTACATAATACTTTTGAAACTAGAAAAGAGCTAACATTTATCATTTTAATCATGTCATTTAACCCTCTTGTAATTTCAAATTGATTCTAATCTCATTTACTATGAATTTCTTAAATCAGTATTTAAAAATTGAAATTTAAAAGTAATTAACTTTATCACTTTGTCGTGCTAATATTATTAGTTAATGTTATGAATTGTAATTTTGACTATAATTTCAAATTGAGGAGTTAAGCTCTGGCAGAAATAATATGGATATCTTACATTCTTTTCAATTTGCCATGTCCACATGCATTTTTATATCACTTTTTTTCTCAATTATGTGTTAAATAAGGAACAACTAATCATTTTACCAAGGTGGGCTTAAATTACCCACTCAAACTCGGTGCTACTTCAAGTCCTGTGGCAAATCTGACCCTCACAAGAGGGGAGAGCAATGAAGGAACAAGGCTGAGAGCACTATCCTCAATCAACTACTTGTCTTGTGAGCTTGAAAGATCAATAATTTCCTCTATGATTTTATTATGGTTGTAATAGTTATATCCTGTGAAGATAACAACATAGTACAAAAATAACTAGCAAACTGAATTACAGTATGTAAAACAGAACTGAGAACTGCATTCCATTCTTCTAAATCTTTAATGCAATTCATATATTTGGAGCAAATCATGAATTTGTGTTACTAGATATTAAACTACTGTTACATGGAAAGAGTGAGCCCTAAGATTCTATAGTACAGACGAATGATTATAGTCTCCAACACTTTTTCATAGGTTGAATATTCCCACAACGAAGAAAAGATGAATGTTTCAGAGGTGGAAATGCTAATTACCTTGACTTGATTATCACTCTGTACTACACATATATGTACATATATTATGTCAATGAAAACAAAAAATAATATTAATATAGTAAAGAAATCATTATAATTACAATTTATATGCAAAGCATAGTGTCACAAATTAGGTGTTAGGCATGTTATTTAATGTTATGCACAAAATTCCCTGGGATTTCTATAAGAAATTATTGAAAACAAAAGCCAAGCCCTGCATGGCAGCATATAATTGTAATTCCAATATCTGAGGGAGCTGAGGAAAAAATATTGCAAACTTGAGTCTATTTTGGGCTACTTTGTGACTTAGCAACACATTGTGCCTCCCCCCCAAAAAAAAAATAGAAGCAAGTGTGGATGCAGCTCAGTGTGAAGGCTCCAAGTTCAATACCCAGTACTGAAAAGAAAAAAAAAAAAAAAGAAAATAGACAAAGAAAACAAAAGCCAATGAAAGGTATAAAAATATATAAAAATACAGATATGTATACACTTAAGAAAGTGATGCTCATTTTAAAAGAATGATTTTAGAAGATTAAATGTTTTAATGAATTCAGTGCTACTTTAATCTATGAAAAATATGTTTAGAAATCTGAGGTCACACACATAAGTTAAAGCAATTAAATGCACCATCATCTATCATTTTATTTGTCCCCACACATTTAAAATATCAATGATGTTACCTATAAATGAGATGCGGTGTGTTTGTTATGTTTTGCTTGCATATAAATCATAGCAAAACATGCTGTGATGCGTTCACTCTAAACTATTATATTTATCTTCAGGTTGGTTCAATTACTGAATGAGAACTTATAGGCGAGACCTAGAAGACTAATGTAGAAAATTATGGCTTAGTTTTTTTCTGGCTCAGCTAATTTAAAATAAATATGTTTATTCTTTCAAGGAGTATTTTCTGAAATCTTACTTTGTGAAAGAACTGAGATGAGGGCAAAGGATTAATGCACAAAAAGCACTGAAAAAGAAAGTCCCAAACAAAGACAACTGCACAATCTGACGAGGAAGGCTGACATGCAGCAGCAGCCGTAACAACAACCCAGGGTGATCCCAACAGTGGGATGCGCTCACGCAGTCTGCACCCATGAAACCATTTGACAAAAAACTTAATTCACGGGATACTGTTAGGATTGCAAATGGTTTCCTTTCAAAAGTAGTTTTCCCAAGGAAGGAAACTCCCAGGAATTGAGCTACAAGGAAGTGCTAAAGAAAAGGTCTCTGAGGCAAGCAAGTTTTAATCTCTTTTAAGACTCAGAAAAAGTATACCTAGAACAGAATCTGGGATTGTGTGTCTGGGGATCAGGTAAGAGAGGGAGCTGCAACCCAGACTTTCTTAAAGCTGTTACTGATCACAAAGCAAGGCAGAACTATGTTTAAGTTACGTGAAGTTATAGACATTACAGATCTGTCTACGTGACTGTTACGAGTGATGGGTGCTAAGACTTGGAAATACAGAGAGCGAATATCCCAGCTGCATTATTAATGTAGTCCAAAACTGTCTCTATATTAAAGTGGACCTGTAGGTAATTAGTTTGCCTTCCTGAGCAAGGGGGGCATTGCTGGTGTCATTTTTCATTGCGAAGAAGTCTGTAGGAAGAGCAAAGTTTGGAGAATGAGGCAAAAGCATAGTAGTTGTCTGCGATGTGTTCATCTTGGAAAGTCAGTTGTTGGTTTGATGCATGATTACAGAGATGAGAAAGTACACATGGCTCCCAAAAATGCACTGTCAACTGTGAGTCTTAACAGGAAAAAGATATTTGAAGCGTGGTGAGGATAAATCTACCTGACAAAGGAGACCTGAGCTCTAGGTAGAGAAGCTGCTCTCTGTGAGAGAGCTATTCCACAGCGTGATCAGGGTGACTAGCGCAGTGCAGAAATTCCAGAGTGCTTTTGACTTGCTTACTGGGAACGTCAAGTGAATGTCAAGGAAGTTTTACATGAAGAAGAAAGCACAGTGGTTCTCCAGAGAAAATAAGGTGCTATAATTCATGGGGAAACATAGTACAGCATCCTGGAAGTTAAGAGAGGGTCAGGTTTCAAGAAAGAAAGGTGTCAGGCGGCAAGTGCTGCTGAGAGCAACGGAACATAAAAAGAATGTGATTGTGCATATTGCATATGCCATGCAGCTTTGTCAAAATAGTTTAGGGAGAAATAAGAGAATTGTGATGAAAATTTTAGAAAAAAACCCCAGAAGGTATAAGATATTCATTTACGTAATGCTTTGAAAAGATTTTCTGTGATGATGAGCAGAGAAATGAAGTTCAGCCTTTGAAACAGTTTCATGCCAAGGTTTAGGATGTGTTTCACAGCTATTGTAGTAGGCTGCTCTCTTCATAGGCGAACGTACAGCAAAGCCATCTCAGAAATCAGATTGTCCTTAGCCTCTCAAATCTATGCAGGTGACAGTGATCCAGTGTAACCTATTCCAAAAGGAGAAACATAAAGCTGTCTATAAAAGTCACAACATATTTTCTGCATTATTGACTCCACTATTGCAGGGTTACCTATAAAGCTTCATCACAAATATGAAGGTTTCTTCAATTTAAATATAGGTTTTTTGAGGCAATTTTAAAATTGAGGAATCTGCTGCCTTTATACCCCTAGGAAATACTGAGACATAAACTTCCAATATATGGAAAAGTATCTTGATGTACTTTTCATATATGTTATCGGGTTTTAAGCAACAGAAAATTTCAAATTCACATCCGAAATGTGCTATCTATAGAAAGCTATCAGATTCTAAGTATTTTTAAGTTAGAGAAGATAATGAAGTTTAAAATCTAATTCACTTTATGTCAATTTTGCATAATGTATATAGACTAAATAAATTTAAAGATTATTTTTAATTAAAAATAATTGTGTGGGGCTGATGAGATGGCTCAGTGATCTAAAGCACCTACAAAGCACAGGGACCGCGGTTCAATCCCCCAGCACCACATGCCAGCCAGCACCACCCCCTGGTGGGCTGAGCTGGCCACACAAACACACACACACACACAGACACACACACACACACACACACATACACATATAAATAAATAAAAAATAATAATAATTGTGTATAGGGCTGGCCAAAGAGCTCAGTGGGTTAAAGAAATTGCAAGCAGGTACAGAGCATGGGGTTTGATCCCTAGGCCTGCCGTGCCACCCCCGCCCCCAAGGTATGCTGAGATGGCAATTAAGACTGGTTGTGGCAGCATGCACCTGTAATCCCAG